ATGTATGGCTGTGAAAGCTGGACCACAAGGAAGGCTGAGCGCTGAAGGATTGAGGCCTTTGAATTGTGGTGCTGGAGGGAGACTCCTGCGAGTCCCTTGGACCGCAAGGTGATCAAACCGGTCAGTCCTAGAGGAGATCAACCCTGACTGCTCTTTAGAAGGCCAGATCCTGAAGATGAAACTCAAATACTTTGGCCACCTAATGAGAAGGAAGAACACCCTGGAGAAGAGCTTAATGCTGTGAATGATAGATGGCAAAAGAAGAAGGGGACGGCAGAGGATGAGGTGGCTGGATGGAGTCACTGAAGCAGTTGGTGTGAGCATAAGTGGACTCCCGGGGATGGTGGAGGACAGGAAGGCCTGGAGGAATGTTGTCCATGGGGTTGCAATGGGTCGAACACAACTTCACGACTAACAACAACAACAAATCTCATGCCATCCAAATGTGTTAGATTACAGCTCCCAGAATTCCTGACCATCCACCACACTGAAGAAAGCTGATGAGAGCTGCAGTCCAAAACACCTGGAGAGCACCAGATTGGAGGCAGGTAGCTTAGACTCATTCACCAAGCATCTGTCAATGCCTTTTCTGTGCCTCAGATCAATGACGCCAGCTATAGTGCTTCGCAGGACTATTCTCCCTCCTCTGGTCAGGATCTGAAGCTGCAACACCGCTCTCTCTAGCAATGTGATTGTGCAGAACACCCTGGTTCATCCTGCAAGTGCCTGCAGGACCAGGATCAGACCTGTAGGAGCTTGCAAGGATTGAAGCAGTTGGCACAGCTGGCAGCTCCAGAAGGTTGCAAGGCCTTTCAGGTGGCCGCTCCTGCAGCTGTGCCCTGCCTCCAGGGTGCCTTGCCAGAAGCTTGTTCCATGCCTCTGCTTCTGGTCCTACCGTGCTGTGTTTGTATCTGCTCCTTGCCCGCTCCTGACTTTGCCCCTGGTTCTGTCACACCTTGTCAGTAACTGACCCTGAGCTGTTCCTGGTTCTGCCTTCACTGCTGGAGCTTCCAGGCCTTGCCAGATATCTGACCCTCCATCCCCCCTTGGCCCTAATGCTCCAGCCATAGACACCTGCAACTTACATCACAGACCTTACAGCCTTTAACTTCTCCACATCTTGTTGTGTTACAACCTAGAACTGAAGTCTGTTTAATTGGCGCTATTACTGTTTGACATATACTCAACAATGAGAAGGTGCAAAATATTTATATGGTGGCACTAAAGTTAAGTAAAGATGCTCCATCCTTCTTGCCCTCAATTCTGACCAGTTTCCTAGTCCGTGCTTCATCAGGCAATGAGTACTGTTGGTTTTCTGCCACAGAGTGCTTTGCAGAAAAGCTAAAAAGTTAAATTTTGGTCTCATCAGACTAGATAAGCTTGTTCTGCATGGCTTTTTGCAGACTCCAAATGGGTTTTGAAGTGGGTTTGTTTTCTTCTTGCCACCCTTCCATAAAGCCCAGCTTTGTGCAACATCCACGTGTGGACGGTTTCTCCTGTCCTGGCTCTAAATCTCTCCAGCTCTTTCAAAACTACCACAGGTCTCTTGGCTGCTTTGCTGACTAACACTGACATCATCTAGTCCCTGCATTTTCAAGGAGGGAATCTCCTAGGCCAAAACACAGTTGAACCAAATTCTTTACATTTTTGTAATAATGGCTTTAAAGAAGCTCTAGGGCATGTCCATACTAGTTCGGATTTTTTTAAAATTCACCAACTATGACTGTTGCGTCTGCACAACTCTTACAGTTGTTGCAATAGCTCCTTGGTTTCCATAATGTTGTTTGTGCAGGTATGCTCTCCAACAAACTCTGGGAACTTCCAGAAAGAGATGAATTTAATCAGAAATATGGGAATTATGCACAGCTAACACTCCATTCAACTATTTACAGTATTCTGGAGGCAGTGGGTTGCAGCAGAGCTTATGTTGGCACGCCACAGCAAAGGAGGTAAATTCTTATGCAGCAACAAGTACCAGTTCTTTTTAGTTCTTTGTGCAGCAAAAAAAATTTGCACCTTCAGAGTTGTGTATTCTGGGTTCATCAAGTGGTAACATTGCCAATTCAATCCATTTTAGTTCCAGGTTATAACACAACATAAGGTAAAACAGTGAAGAGGAAGGGTGTACACTTTTGCAGGACACTGCATGCTCAAAAGCTGAGCTTCCTCAGGGACGAAACAAATAAATGGGAAGCCTGTGGCCTTTATGCCCTGATCAGGAGCTATCCAAGGCCAGTGACAGTTTGAAAAAGTAGATGGGTCTAGGTTCTATTTTAGTAGCCCAACTCAGCTCATACCCCGCCCACTCAGAACCCAAGGGCTCCAAATTCTAAAAGGAAAAGGAAGAAAAAATAGGTCAGAGTTTAAAACTGGAGCAGTTTAAACCAGGCAGCACTCTGTGGGTTGTTACCTGGACATTAGCAAAATCCACACGGTTGAGGTCGCTCAGCATCTGATTGATTTGGGCCGTATTCTGCAGGACAGCCCGAGCAGCCTGTGCAAGATGGTTCAGGGAGGTGTACCGCCGCAGGGTCTGGGCAAAGGCACTTGCTGCTGCCACCTGCAACACAAATTGCAGATGACCAGACTTGCTCCCCCCATAACTGGATGCTCCAGGGGAAGAAGGGGTTGTGGAACTGGGACATCACTGCAACATCTGCCCAACAGGATGGGAGGGAAAGACTAGCTTGGACCCCCCAGGGGACTGAGAATGGCTGACTGGAGACATCACCAGAACAAGGCAGAGAAGCTACTTCTAGGTCCCTGGACAGCCAGTCTGCCCTCGCACGGAGGCAAGAGAGTGCCAGCTCTAGAATGTACCCTGCTGTCGGGGAACTGCAGGGCCAACGCCAGCACTGACCCTGCTCTTGCTGCCCCAATCCTTTTACTCGCCTTCACGCGCACCATCTCTTCCGGAATATTCATCATGGCATTCGTCAGCCAGCTCTCCAAGCTTTTTGCAAAGTTTCGGATTGCTTGCGTCAAGGCACCTGGGTCAGAATGGAACAGCAGCAGTAGAAGAGCCAGTTTCAGTGTGGCTAGCAGTCCTCAGTGCACAGTGGTAGGGAGCCAACCAAGGGCAGCCCACCTCTCTGAGGACTGTTTCAATGCCTCCTCCACAGGCTAGAGGAGCTAGCCGCCCCAGTAGCCATATGATGCCATGTGACCAACTGGATGAGCCCACCCTGAGGCAAGACAGAGCCCCTGCCAAGAGCAGACGCATTCTGCTTCTGCCACTGATGCTGGCAGCACCTCCAGGCTTGGGAGAGCCCACTCCCTGGCCAGAAATACGAGCGGTGCAAGATGGGCTTACTCGGAATGGGCCGGAGCACTTCTGGGATCAGGACCTCTACCAGCCCCTGGTACAGCAGGTTGTCGCAGTCCTTCGTCCATTTGAGGACAGGCTCGTACTTGGACAGTGTCACCAAGCAGCTCTTTGGGAGGCGCTTCTCAGCTTCATCATGACTAAATGCAAAACACACGAGCCACATGAGGGAGCACCATCACAAAGCTGCAACTCAGATCTCGGGACCCAGCAGCTCAGTTGGGCCCCCGGTGCCACCTGCAGGCACAGTCCATGGCTTCTTGTAACTCAGGATTTAGAGCCGGTTCAGTCACAGTGGAGGAAACATGGTAGGCTGCAAATGTAGCAGAACCTATTTCCTGTTTCGCTTCCCATGCAAGGAAGCATTTCCTCCGACTGACAGCAGTCCTCCCACAGGGGAAGCCGCCAAGGCTCAGGGGCACCGAGCTATAGGAGGTTTGGGAGCACCAGGTTGTAAGAGCATCTTTAATATCCCATGTCATGAGACAGTGAGAGTGAGTGAGTGAGTGAGTGTTTTGCAATTTATTGGACTCCTGCCTGCTACATTTCATGAGCTCTAAATTCAGCCTTCCTCCAAGAATACAGCTGACAGATCTTAAGAACTGTGGGCCATCGCATTTGGAGGGAACCAGGCTGAAGAAAGCTGCACTGGCAACTGGGGCAAAGTGATACGAATTTCTTGTTCCAAGCGCTGAGCAAGGCATGAAGATCTGGATTGTGCACCTGCCGAGGGCGGGAGACAGCTGAGTGAAACCTGCCTTGTCCAAGCAGGCCAAGGTGGCTCTTGGCCAAAGGCAAATCTCATCCTGGTGGTTCTGCACAAGTCACCTGCAGTCTTGGCCCCATGACAGCCTTGCCATGGTACTCACATGATGATGGGGGTGGTTTCGCTGGGCTGGTTCAAGTTGTACCGCCAAAAGGTCTTCCACAGTGTCTCCACCAGCGTGAACTGCAGGTTTACCATCACATCAACAATGGCCTGAGGAAGGGGAGAAACTATTGCATGAGCTAATTATAGATCTGCAAGGCAGGGAGGGGCACCAGCAGTCAGTACTAATTTGATTACTCTGGAGGATCCTGCTGGTGCCTCTCCCTGCCTTGCAGAACAACTTGATTATAGGCCGGTTAAAACAAAGCTGCCCAGCTGTACAGCATTTTTAATCATTCAGAGCATTCCCATGCCTGACTTTCAAGGTCATGATACTTAAGCAGATGATCTCAGACAGCAGACAGGAGGATTGGCCTGCTCAGCAAGAATTCACAGACAGACTCAGCACAGCCTGAGATGAGACACAGGTTAGTAACCTACAGTTATTCCAGCTGTGCCATAAAAACAGCATCTGCCTGAGCACAGCTTCACCTACTGCAGAGGTGAGCAACTTGTGACCCTCCAGGTGTGCTGGTGTACATCCCCCATCAGCCGTAACCTGTGCAGCAAGTGAGGAGGGATGCCAGGAATGATATGGCAAAACATCTTGACAAGGTGTCCACTCCTGACCCACAGGCTTCCTGTAGAGCAATATCAATGGACAGTGACAAAACAAGGCTACAAAGAGACTACTTTATTACTTTGATTTTCACTTGATAGCTGCCAAATGACTGGGCTGTCAAGAGAAAGGCAAAGTGGATCTTTGACTGTGAATGAAACATAGAAAGCACAGAAACACAGTGAGTCACAAGGGGCCTCCTGGGCCACCTAGTCTGACCACCTGGCTCCAGCTGACACTAATCATGACATGCCCACCATGTGCTTGTCCAGCCTGCCCTTAAACACCCTTACCATTGGGGCTTCAACTACCTCCCGTGGAAGCCCATTCCATACCCTACGGGTCCTAACTGTACAGAAGTACTTCCTGTCATCCACCGTGAATCTTGGTTTCCTGAGCTTTGCGCCATTGGAATGTGTCCTGCTCTCCACTGCAGGGGAAAAATGCTCATGATCCACCTCTGTGTGGCACCCCCTCACATACCTGTACGTTACCAGCAGGTCCCCTCTGAGTCCCCTCCTCTCAAGGTTGGAAAGGCTCAGCTCCCTCAGTCTCTCCTCCTATGGCTTACTCTGCAAACCAGCCACCATCCTAGTGGCCCTTCAGTGCACTGATTCCAACCTAGCTATATCCCGCCTGTAATGAGGAGCCCAGAATTGAACAGTTGCAGGCACACCAGAGTCATATAGACTGGCAGTAATACCTCTTTCGATCTAGAAGCCACGCTTCCGGCTATGCAATCAAGCGTGGCGTTCGCCTTCTTGACCATGGCATCACACCGATGACTCATGTTCAGCCTGCAGTCAACCAGCACCCCGAGATTCTTTTCACAAGCGTTGCTCACCAGGCACTTGTCCCCTAAGCTGTACTTATGATGCCCATTCCTATGCCCCAGGTGCAAGACCTTGCGCTTATCTGCATTGAACATCATCTTGTTGTCTCCTGCCCACTTCCATAGTCTGTCCAGATCCATTAGGATCCGGAGTACCTGTTCCTCAGTTGTGGCCATTTTAGTATCCCCCACACCCATTTTAGTATCATATGTGAATCTGACCAGCAGACTGTCATCTCCTCCTCTAGGTCATTGAATAGACTGAACAGGATTGGTCCCAGGACTGAGCCCTGCAGGAACCTGCTTGTCACTGTCTGCCATTCCGACAATCCCCCACTAATAGCAACCCTCTGCTTTCGGTCCTTCTGCCATGCCCTAATCCGTTGGACAGTGCATTGGTCTATCCCAAAACTCCTCAATTTCTCAACCAGGATATCATGGGGCACTTTGTCAAAGTCCTTGCTAAAATCCAGGTAAATCACATCCACTGCACCCCTTCCATCTAGCCACCTCAAGACATTGTCGTAGAATTCCTCAAGGTTTGGCAGGACCTGTTTTTGCAAAAGCTGTGTTGTGTGGCCGACAGCCTCCCTTCCCTATCTAGGGACTCCAGAGTGTTTCCCATTATGAGCATTTCCACTGTCTTTCCCACTATGGACGTAAGGCTAACCGGCCTGTAATTCCCCATGTCCCTGATGCTACTGTTTTTTAAGATCAGGACCACTGAAGGCCAGTGGACCTGAGAGTACCCCCGCCAACACCCTAAGTACCCTTTGGTGTAACTCTGACACCTTAAGTCCAGTGCCTTGAGGAGCTCCTCAACTTCTGGGGGGTGACTCTAATCTGTGCCCCTAAATCCCGAGCTTCATCCGATCCTCCATGCGGATCTCCCCCATTCTGGTTTGCAAAGAACACAGAGGCAAAGTAGTCATTTAGCATTTGTGCCTGTTCCCTCACATCAGTCAGTGAATCCCCTTCCTCCTTATTAAGCAGTCCTACCACCTGTCTCCCCTTCCTCTTGCTATTTACATGTTACTAGAAGCCCTTTTTTTTGCTTTTGATATTCTTTGCAAGTCTCCGCTCATAATCAGCCTTAGCGCTGCGAATAATCCTTCTGCAATGATACCCCTTTGTTTACTTGCAGTATCCATTTCCTATGGAAGTTCCTCTTATGCCTAATGCATCTTACCACTTCTCATCCACAGGGATGCTCTCCTCCGCCTCCCCACCTTGCTAACTAGAGGTACCATCAGGGCTTGTGCCTCCAAGACTTTTCTTTTTAGTGCCATCTATCCCTCTTCAACTCTCTTGCCTTCCAGTACCCTCTCCCAGGAGACTTTCCTCAGTCTAGCCTTCAACTGACCAAAGTTGGCTTCTGTAAATTCCCAACTTCTAATACTTGACCTGGCACTCAACCCCATTCACTGGATCGCAAAGGATGGAGTGATCACTCACATCCAGAGCTTCCCTAATCTGCACCCCATCTATCAGCTCCTACCTGTTGGTCAAGACCAAATCAAGGATATTTCCCCCCCTCATCACCTTCCAGACCCTCTGTGTGAAAAACCCTCCCTCTAGAGTGCCTAGGAAGTGATGTGACCTGGCTATCATTGCTGAGTGGGACTCCCAACTAATATCTGGGAGACTGAAATCTCCCATAATTACTGTGTCCCTCCCACAAGTTATCCTTAGAATCTCATCTGTCAGGACATCATTCAGGGTCTCAATTTGACTTGGAGGATGATAACATACCCCCACTGTCAGGTCCCTCCCCTGTTGAAACCCTTTGAACCAAACCGCCTCTACCAGACCCCCATCAGTGCCACATTCTATCTCACTGCACCCTATCCCTTCCCTGACATATAATGCTACACTTCTGCCCCCTCTTTCCCTTCCTGTCCTTTCCAAACAGGTCATACCCCTCTATGTTTGCATTCCAGTCTTGCCTTTCATCCCACCAAGTTTCTGTGATCCCCAGCAGGTCATACCCTCCTATTCCCAAGAGAGAGTCAAACTTCCCGCTTATTACCCATGCTCCTAGAGGTGGTATACATGCATCTCAGCACCTTCTCACAAATCCCTTTCTTTGGGTCCCCTGGCCTCCTCCTCCCTCCCATCTTCCCTGATATTGGCACCCTCTTTGTAGGAGTTCCACCAGCCCCTGCAGTACATCTAACACCCTGGACCCAAAAACCTGGCCCTCTCTTCTCACTTGTCCCATCAGGACAAGTTTCTGTGGGGACTGTACCCCTGCCGAGTTTAAAGCCTTTCAGACAAAGCACACTAGAGCATATCCAAAGGACCTTTTCCCCAACCAAAGGAAGTACCAACTACATCTCCTTCTTGCAGGTGTGATCCTTTACTTCTGTTCCAATGTTTCTCAGTCCCCTCCACTTTTTCCACACTTTCCCCAGACGCTAGGTCTGTAGCTTGGGAAAGGTGCAATCTAGAGCCCCACTTCCTTTTTGCAAGGACTTTATATTGATGGTTGTCCAGATGGAAAATTGAGTGGAGTTGGGAGCAATCTTTCCCTTCTCTTCCTGCCTGCTCAACAGTGGCAGGTTCAGGAACAAAAAAGAAGAGCCCAGTGCTCTTAGGGTTTTCAGTGTTAGTTAAAATAAAAATTTGAAGGGAGCAGTGAGAAGGGAGGTTTGTGGGTGCTGCTGGAGGCCTCTGAGGGCACCACATCAGAAATCCCTGCTCTAGCAACTGACTCACTAACTTCACTTTTTACATTTCTCTCTTCTTACAGTAAGTATATGAAGACTGTAGTGTCAAAACAGATTTTGCCTACTGTCCCACTGCATGCATATACATAAATGCACACACATTCATTGTCCAATTCATACATGGGCTCTAACCTATGGAAGCTCACAGGTAAATAAATGTGTTAGTTTTGAATAAATGTATGCAAACACCATGACGTTTCTGAATTGTCACTAGGAGCATCTGCACAAGTGCCACTGGCCCAGCATTTTTATTTTAATCCAACTGCAGTATAGCGCTATTTAACGGGAATAAGCCAGCAAGGAAAGGCGTTCAGGGAGGGCGGGATGACCAAGCCGAATTCTTCTTCCACTGATGTGGCTGGCTGGGCCTGGAAGCGGCTGGGAGTGCCTGGCCTATGAGACTGCCAGAGAGTCACATTCACTTGCTACTTCCTAGCAGCCTGTCATAGCAGCCATCCAATGGGACAAAGGTCCCTTTTCCACCTTGTTACATACTTCACAATGTTCTCGATAGAGCAACTGGAAAGCCTTCACATCTTCGGCCCCAATGCCCTCAGGGAGGGCCTTCCCTTGGAGGTCTAACTCTGCAAAGTCAGGCAAGCTGCGCGAAGCATCTGCAGGGGGAAAAGAGAAGTCAGTTCTCAAAGTTCAACCCTAGGTGCCACTCTGCTACCAGTCATCCAACTCTGAACTGAAACTTTTAGAGGTTATATAGAACACAATCTACAGCTTTTTAGAGAACTGGAAAAATGTGTTTCCATGGGCAATTAGGATCATTGGCCCCAAAGGTAAGGCTGCCAGCATCATTCTCACATGGAGCTGTGTCAAAAATAACATGGCCAACATCACTGTTGCTGGAAATCATTTCCTTGTGTTGAAAAGTCCATGTGGAGGGTCATAACATTTGCAAACAACTTCCAACTTAGAGTGGTCCAATCACACAGAAAAACTTTGCCAGCTCTGCATCTTCCAAGGACCTCCTCAATATCACTTGGCTCAATCTAAGTTACAGCCCTGAAGTGAGAAGCCATCTAGGCTGTCAACTTACTTAGAACACATATAGGGTTAATTCATGACAAGCCTTCTATGAAAGGAAGAACTCTGCTTGCAGGAAGTCATTCTGCCTAAATCTGGGAGCTGCCCCTCCCTCACCACCACAGCTCACCCCATTCAGCAGGTCTCCTCACTCTGTACAGCAGTTTCAGAGGATGGAGAATGGGAAGGAGTGGACAAGAAGCCCACTGCAGCTGGAGTAGCTGGATCCGGTGCACAGACAGTCACAATCCCCATCTAAGAGCCCTTTTCTGCAACCCCAGGGGTCAGATACTGGACCCTAACAACTGCATTGTAGGTGCAGATGAGACTCCCTTCACAGGGACATCACAGCTGGAAGTTTCCTGGCACAGCACAGAGACTCACCCAAGAATTGCTGGTACTGTTGCACTTGAGCACTGATGTCAGATAGCCCTGAAGCCTGCTGCTGCCCCACGGCCACTCCATTGGTCATGCCCTCCATCTTCTGAATGGGCTTGAGCCTAAAACACAGAGCAACACAGAGTCAGGGCATGCTGTAGCAACAGCAACTGGGTGTGAGAAGCAGGGCATATGCACAATAGTGTCAAGCAGTCAGGGGTGCAGCTGTGTCCTGCCAAACATGCAGGATGCAGTTGCTGGGGGACTGAGTGCTGTTCCTGCGCAAGTGGTTCTGGGACTGTGACTTCCACAGAGCTGCTTTCAACCAAGTTGGATCATGGATAGGCACAACTCTCCCAGGTTTCAGACAGGGTTTTCCCCCAATCCCACCTGCAGGTGGGCAGGGATTGACATGGAGACTTTTAGCATGCACGGTACATGCTCTGCCACAGAACTCTTGTGGCTCTGCCCTTCTCCTACCTTTGCTTCTGGGAAAATGGCTGCTGCCTCATGGCCAAGTGTTGCTGGTCCTCCATGAGCCGCAGTAGTGGGGAGTTGGCTTTAATGCGCAGCCCATAGTAGTGGTATTTTGAGTTCCCTCTAAAAAAAAAAAAAAGCAAGAAAACATAAGCCTGCATACATAGAAATGTGGTGGATCACAACACAGCTTGCACCACTGGACACTTGGGTACTGCTTTCACAACAGTGAAGCTGCCCAGTACCACAACATTTCAACTGTGGCAAATGATGGCAATTAGATCCATGCAATCAGTATGGCGTAATTTTTATATGCTAAAAACAATGTGTAGGACTTTTTGCTCACATATGGATTCACCTAATCACTAGAACTAATTACTCCCATAACACTGTTAAGTTATAAAGTGCCTTAGCATTTTTAACTTACTAAAATTTCCAATATATTTGCTTTATGTTACAATTCTTCACATTCCTTTTGGATGTACCTGACTGCTTAAGTCATCTTATAGCACTGTATCAGTTGTGACACGTTCAAGAAGGGAATGTGACTGAAACTGTGTGTTGAGGGCAGTGCAGTAGCTAAGAAACGGCCTGAGTTACAAATGTACATTCTTAATTAGTACATTCCTGGGTCCTGAACTAATATGTGGCCAAGGCAAATAATTTTAAATACCATTATATAAAAATCATTATAAATAAGTAAACAAATAAGTAAATAAATATTCTCTCAGCGCACCCTCAGCTGTAGCTCAGAAATGAGCATTTCTACACGAGGCTGTTAATGCTACATCTACCTTCACTTTTGCCACAGAACTGATATGCAAGTACTACACAAAGACCACTTGTTTTTCTCCTCTTCTGCTACATAAATAATAGTGTTGTGCTATAGCAGAGTACTGCAATCATACAAGCAGGCAAACACCTTTTCTTTTGCTTTCAGAAATAATACCCCAATCTAAAAAAGTAACTATGGAAATTTTCATAAAAACAGAAGCAAAAATTGAAGGAATACAGCATCATCTGAAGGACCCATGTTCAAGATCATTTAAAGGTTGGAATTAGTAATGTGGTATTTGTTGGAGCCAGAATGCCTGTAATCATCTTTTGTGGTTGCCCTGTGCAGCCCCTTGCCCATCCCATTTTTTTTAAACTTCAGGCAGCTAGAAATTAAATGACTGCCCCCTAGCCAGCCAATCTACCTCCTTTCCTTCTGAGACATGCCTCAGACCACTCACCCCTCACGTGGCTTCACAGGCATTATTCTGAATGGAAAAGAAGACAGTTGGACCCACGTAGAACCAGAAACAAGCATTTCACCTGCTCCTCAAAGGCTCTCTTTAAAAAGGAGGCAGGAGAAAAAGAGAAAGAAATCCTCCTCAGTATATTTGTGGGACTGTGGGGAGCAGCAGGGAAAAAGTAAGGTTGGTGTGTATAGGGAGAAGGGAGACAGGGTGGCTGTGTCAGGGTGTGTGGAAAAAGGCAGCAGCAGGAGTTGCTCCAGGTGTGCCCCTTTTGGGCATGTGGGGGGATTTCAAAGAGCCAAGCTGTTTTTCTAGGCTCAGAATGGCTCAGACCACACAGCAACAATTTTGGGAGTGTGCAGTCCTGCCCATGGCAGCCAATCCGTGACAGCATCAGTGACATTTTCTCAAGAGTATCCTCTGTTCCAAAAGGGTAAGGGACCACTGTTTATAGATGTTACTGAGATAATGATGTGGAGTATTTTGAATATTCTAAAGCACTACAAGAATGTTACGTGTTATTACACAGTGCCACTTCGAAGGTGGGATTCGAACCCAGACTCTTCCAAGCCTATGGGCTCACAAGTGCTTCTCCCCTCAGCAATTCCATAAACCCAGCAATGATTTAACAGCCACCCCTAAAAGCCCCCCACCCTAATTCCTACTTCAATAACCAGGAGGAAAACATATTATTTGAGTCTATTTGACTACCATGAAGCTTTTCTGTTGTAGTGAAGCTCAGACTGAATTTCTGGAATGGCTGAAGTCCCTTCTAAGGTGGATGTGCTTTTACCTGGTTCCAAGTCGACGAGTACGGAGCCCCATGAAAACAGAACGGATCAGCTTGCCAAAGGATGCTGCATTGACTGGCTCCAGTTTCTGCTCCTGACAGTGCAGGAGATAGTGGCAGTACAAGGTGCTGCGTGGGAGGCTCACACCCTCAGCAGTTTCATAGTTATCCAGCAGCCACTGCACCTGTGAAGAAATGTGTGCGAGTGCAGTTACCATCTTCAACCTTCACATTCTCTTTTCGGGCTTTGATGCTTTCCTTTGGACAGTGTTAGTAACACTGAGAGGTTGGGCTTTTGGAACAAGCTGATCAGTGAATGGTCCAAAACCTGCAGCCTGTATTTGGGAGGTGGATGCCTATCTTAGAAGCTCATACATTTAAAAACCTCACTTACAAGATTTTTATGTTTTAGTGCTAGTCAACCTCATCCTGAAGAGTTAAGGTAAGGAGAACGAAGGAATCATGATGGTTCCCACCTATTTCTACCAGGAGTGGAAAGGGGAGGTGGAGCTTGTGCAGAAGACATTAAGCTAGGAGAATCTTCCCGAATGCAGGCACTGTGCCGGCGCAGCACCCATATGTGTGATGCACAGAGACCACAAAGAAGAACTAAGGGATCATGATGTTTCTAAAATAAAGAGGTATGGAAGAGAAAAGGGACTTATCACAACTCTTAACCAGCTTTATGTTTGGTAAAGAGTATCATTGCTAACCCAAGACTCTGAAGTGAATGAAGTAATACCCAGGGCCAGAATATCCCAATTCTTCTTCCTATTACTAAACATTATGAAATCCTCATTCACTTAGGGTGCAATCTTATGAAGTTCAGAAAGAAAAAGCCAGTGTGGTGTAGTGGTTAAGAGCATGGGGCTGGGACTCAGGCGATCTGGGTTCTAGTCCCCGTTCAGCCATGGAGCCAACTGGGTGACTTTGGGCCAGTCACAGACTCTCAACTCAACCTACTTCACAGGGTTGTTTTTGTGGGGATAAGATGGAGGAGGAGATGTAAGCTGCCTTGAGCCCTTTGTAGGAAAAAGGCAGGATATCAACTGGAAAATAAATAAATAAATAAGGGTCTACAACTCCCAGCTTGACCCAGCCAACACAATTAAGCCCCTTTCTGTCTAAACTTGTAGGACTTAGGACTGAGTCTTTATACTCTAAACTTTCACTTATATCTGTTTTGAAGACAGACTTCGTGAAAGGCATGGTGGACTCTGCCCCCAGGTAAAATTTGCCTCTCACTTTGTCCCTTTAACAGTACCTCAAAACTCTGCATCACCTGATGACATCTATTATTGGATCAGCTGCTGCTGGAGCAAGGTAAGTTTTAAAATGTGTTTATGATCATCTGATAAAAGCTATTGCCTCCCTTTGGGGATGTAATAAATCCTAAATTCTGAACAGATCAACTTTCTGCCCTAGAGCCTACAATAGACAAGATGTACCATGAGTCCATCAGAAAGAGCCCCAGTTTCACCATAAACAAATTCCTCATCACACCTATGGGGACTGTCAGACCAAACAGGCATAAGGAAGTGTTTCATTTCTTGAGTCAGTGGTTTTCCAACTTGCCTTCAGGGAAACCTTTTCCAAACTGGCTCTTCTATTGAAGAACACCTGCACACTGGGGCATTTTCTAGAATACTCACTCAGTTTGCACAGGGGTGATACCCTTGCTGAGACCCAAGGTTGCTTTGTGTGAGCTGAGAAACAACCTAGAACATGCTCCGGAAGCTGCACCTTCCAGGAAGAGATCAGCAGTGGGCAAGGAAGGTCTCATACAGGGAACCCTGCCCAATCCTTATTGAAAATAAATTACACATCTCCTCAGAGAAAACACAAGATTACCCAGAAAGCAGCACTGAAATCCACTGCGTCAATGGGAGCATTTGGACTGGCAGCAGAGAAGAGCACAAAAGTTGGCCGGAGTGTTCTTGCCCACACCCCAGCCCCTCCCCAAAAGGACAAGATATCCTAGTAAACAATTCAGACTTACAGTTGCTGGGGAGGCACGGGTGGTATGTGAGTAGGACTGGCTTGAACTTCCTAGCATGTAACCGCCTTGAATCACGTATGTCCCTGCGCTGCTGCTGCCGGCACCACCTCCAGCTCCTGCAGTGCTGCCACTGCCGCTGCCGCCACCGCCGCCGCCGCCGCCTCCACCTCCTCCAGCACTGCTCCCTCCGCTTGGGTTGGCTATGATTTGCCCTCCAGAGACATACATGGGCACTGAGCCACTGCTGGCCACTGTCTGGGAGGTTGCTGGAGTGGAGACCTGTGTTGGAGTGGCTTGTGATTCATAGTAGTTTGCTCCAGCATTCTGGGTGTAGAGAGGGGTTTCCGTGTAAGGGTAAGTACTGGAGCGTCTGAAAAGAAGAAAGCCCATCAGGTATTGATGTCACCCCCCTCTCCAGTAGAAAAACTGCCACCTGTAACAGAGGGCAAGGTGGCAGGTAAGTACACACACCATCCTTCAAGGAGTACAGTCAACATGTGGCAGATCTGCCCTCCCACTTTACCAGGGTAGAGTCTTTGTCTAACTACTTGATTGAGAGATAGCTGAGGGACAGGCCTTGGTTCAATCTAGTCCTTAAAGCACTTTTTTTCCATAAAGCATGGTTCAGTATCTTTAAAAAAAAACCCAAACCAGTTAACACTGACTATTTTAAAGTGAACAAACAGCTAGAAAATATGACAGAGCAGGAGCAACTGATAATAAGATTTACAGAAAATGTATTATCTAAAATCTGTAAACTACTCTAAAAATACGAAACAGAAACAGAACCAGTTAAAGATCATGTGGATACAAAGCATTGGAAAAAACATCCTAATGAAAATTTGGGAAAATATTTGGAGTAAAAGCCAGAATGTTTCATTAAATTCCTCTATTAAAGAAGGTCTATATAAGATGATACTGAGGGATATTGAGGTGGTATCTAACATCAGTTAAAATAAATAACAATTATTCTAATTGCTGGAACTATCAGTAACAGATAGATTCTGATCACTTAGGATGGGAAAGAAATACTGGAAGAGAAATACTGAAGAATGATTAATAAAAATATGGATAAAATATTAGGCAATAAAAGTCTATTAAAATATAGAGAGGAAACAAAGGATGTATTGTATCAATAGATTTCTTACTCAACAACACAAATAATTATTAGCTTATAAAATGGCTGCAGAAAGAAAACTATTCAAAAAAGTGGGGAGAATAAATAACACCTTTTAGGGAGAAATGGTTGGAGAAAATAATTGGATTTCACCATGATGGCAAAAATAAATATGTATTAGAACTGCAGAAAAAAGTCAGAGAAGATAATTTACAAAAAATCAATCTCCTATATTCATTTTTGTAGGTGCAAAACAATATATCAAAATATAAAATGAGTTGTTCAATAGTCTGTCTTATAAAGGGTCCTTTGGTCCCTAGAGAGCATGTAGATGGCCACACATACCAGGTGGGCAAACTGCTCCAACTTCAGCTCTGGAAATCCACATTCAGATTGCCCTCTCATTTTGCATAGAAAGAACCATGCCACCAGCTTCTCCCAAGTCATGGAGAAGGGGCTTAGAGGGAGAGCAGCACATCCAAGGCCCAACATATCCTGTGGCACCTCAACCTCCCTCCCTCCCTCCCACTCTGAAGGGCTGCAGTTAGACAGCCAAAATCTCTCTATAAGTCTGTTTACTAGAAAACAAAATGTAATACAGTATTCATCTATATTTTAGTTATACAAAGATCATCTGTTTTGCAGAGGGATCCTTGGTTTTCTATGGTTGTCCCACTCTGAATAGACCAATCATCCTTTGAGTTTGGAAGATTATAAGCAGTCCTGCTGGACTGCACCCAAAGGATATGATCCTTTTGCTCCTTTTGGCCTCCATGTAAGCCTCCAAACCTGGTTTATATGCATCTTCTGCCTGGCACAAGGTGCAGCAATAGCGATCTCCAGTGCACCTCACACCAAGTATTTTCTCTAGATGACTGTCTTCAGCTACCTGGAGATTTAGTGCCAGGAAAAGGGCAGAAAGGAAGCTGGGATTGCTCTAAGCCGGCAGCTCCAGCCTCCCCGCCGCCTCTTCCCTCAGCACACCCTTTCCTCCCTGACAATTAGTTAGGACTTTGGGACTGGTGGGGCAGGGCAGAATTCAATCCTTTCTATGCTGGTTGTAAGGTGAGGGGAGAGTCGCAGCTCCAAGGCTGCAGGACCTTACAGCTGGTCCTGAGAATCCTATGTCCCCACCCCCCAGTGGTTTCAGGGAGCCACAGTTAGCTACTACATACTTAGTTATTTATGAAATGTTAACATATACAAAAAAGAAAAAACGGTTAATCTGTAGATTTGGATCATTCACAAGAAATCTACCATGCTTGATAGACTTGATACTTTTCCTGCCGAGTTGTATTCTTTTGTCTCTTACACTGTTCTGCAACCTCCTATCACAACTTTCTATTTGTCCAGTTCATCGTGTCCTTCCATATTGTTGATGCTTGATGTCCCCAGAGTAGTAGCCGTGTTCACTTGCAAGAAAAACAATGGCAAGCTGTGCAACACTTTAATGATGGGCAGAGTAACCCTAAACAGGAGATGTGGAAAGTGAAATGGCAAAGTGTCCACTGCTTTCAAAACCTGAAAAGTCAGGACAAGCGGTGTGTGGGCACTTGTGTGTTAGGACTGAGGGTGAAAGATGTCCCTTCAGCCCCCCTTCCATTTCCACCCCTTTTTTATTTTATTTATTTATTAAAACATTTTTATGCCGCCCCATTCGCCGAAGCCTCGGGGCGGCTTACAACAATAGCTGTTTTACTGTTTTGTTTCTCCCTGCTTCTAAGAGTAAGAAATGTCTACAACAGCCTAAGGTCAGTCTACACAAGAGAGCTCCCAGAGAAATGGGGTGGCCTTGGATTCCAGGATCCTGCTTCACCCTTTCTGGAATGCCCTGCTTAGAGGCCTACAAGACGCAGCAATGCCACTGACTGTGTATTTACAGCCTTAAAGTTTTCCATTGACATACTGGAGACCTCCATGATGAACAGCTAGCAGAGCTCTTCTCTGCCAGCAGGAAGGCACTTCGGCCCTATCCTAACCCCACTGTACAGAATAGGGTGGATTGGATTATAAACTAATAGGTTTGTTGTGACATACTCAATCATTCAGTTTTTAAGGTCCTACAAGAATCTTCATTGTTAAGGTACAATGTGCTAATGGGCCTTTAAAACACACCTTTTATTTAGTAATTTACTGACTTAGGTGTAAATTTTAATCCTTAACTGCTTATAAAACAAAAGTACTTTGTATGTAAAAAAAATCAAGGTATACACCCACTACACAATAAAAAGGAAAAACTGCTTAAACATTGTTTAAGTGCTATTGTCCACACATTAATGCTCCATCTCTCTTTGGATTTTGCTCTGGCTGAGCCTAAGGGTAAGTGATTCATAACTGTGAAACCCACGCTGATGTTACTATGGATCTAGAATCTAGATCATTAAGAAGAATTCTTCATGCAGTTGAAAACATTTCCAGCCCCGGACTCTTGTTTAGAGAATCAAAGCTACTGAGTGCAAGGGGGCTGACCATCTCTGATACACATACAACCTGGAATCCGTTTGCACCTGTGTGAAAAATTATACTGTGCAATTCACAACTCCTTGACTGCGTCAAGGCTCTGGGACCCTGGACTTGTTGGCTCAGGCCTCAGGGTAGGACAAATAGGGTAGGACCTCCTTCTTTGAAAGCAGGCACTTAAGCAACCCTTTGGCATATGAACAGGACTCGAGTTAGAATCTGTTTTTACTCTGGTATTGCTGTGTTTGTTGTATTTTAATTGAAGGTTTTAATCAAGCATTATTTATGAATGTAAGCAATCTCAAGCACCATTTTTCTTGGTAGAATGGTGTACAGAAATCAAATAGGTCAAAAAGGTCAATAAGAGAGCCAGTGTGGTGTAGTGGTTAAGAGAACAGGACTGGGACCCAGGTGATCTGGGTTCTAGTCTCTGCTCAGCCATGAAACCAACTGGGAGACTTTGGCCCAGCCACCAACTCTCAGCCCAACCTACCTCACAGGTTTGTCATTGTGGGGATAAGCTTGAGAGCAGCAGGAGGAGAATGATGTAAGCCACTTTTGTCGTAAGAAAAAAGCAGGATATAAATATAATAAATAAATAGTAAGTATTCACATGGTGCTTGCTGTGTAGCTGGCATCTCCTCCTTCCACATACTGCACCTGGTTAGGATAGACATGCTGCACAGGTACCTGCTGGAGCTGCTGGACCTGAAAAGGCAGAATGCAGCAAGCAGAGGAAAAACAAATTGAGATGAGAGAGGCAAGGATGGTCAAGTTAATTCTGTCTTGTCCCTCCCTGCTGATTGCTTTAGGGAAAAGGCCACCTTCTTGCCCTTACAGTCGTGCCTACCATAATTCTAGTCTGTGGCTACCTCATTTGCCTTCATCCAGTACCTGACACTGAGCTACCATGAAACCAATAAGAATAATAATCCTGAAGAGAAATGGCAAAATAAGTACAGCAGAACTATTATTCTAGAGACTAAGGATTCTTCCACAAATCAAGCCTCAAGAGGAGCCTAGGCTTTAGGTCATCTGCCTCAGACATAAGAAGCACAATAGCATCACACGCAGAATGAAATATTTCAGGATTTCTGTTGAGCATTACAGATTTTTCCCATTTGGCATGCAAGGGTACATAATTCCAGCATTGCTTAAGAGCTCTTTATATATTACACTTTATACATTACACCCTATATAAGGAAGGTGCAAGTGTGACAGTCACATGCTTGCATCATACCAGGCACTGATCAAGGAACAATAATTTGACTACAGTGCCTTGCATCTTGCTAGATTTGCCCTTAAGTAATGAATGAATAAGCCCTTTACAAAGATGGCAAAATATTGTTTTATAAATTGCTTTTATAATGTTTGCTTTATGGTCTTATAAAACAAGAGGCCATTAACTCGCCGTGATGGTTTTGTTAGACAAGAGTAAACTCAGACTCAGGTAGGTGCCTATGTTTCAGTAGGGTATTACAGAACAAATATTGAGAACTCATCAAGCAAAACACACTGCATGATCTAGCCTGTCTAGACTGAACTTTGTTCACCTGCCCAGACGTGGTGATTTGGGTTCCTAGCTAGCAACAACCTGTCTCAGTTTTGGCCTCCAAGTGTTGAACACTCCTCTGCCCACATAAATGTGCTTGCTAGGTCAAACACTTCTCCCACAAGCCCCAAACCCCCAAGAGTTCCACATTTACACTTGGCTGAAACAAAATCAAATCCAGTGCTGAAGAGGTCCAAGAATTTCAACTCCTCTGGCAAGGTGTGGGAAAGGAAAGATGGCTGCTCTAGCACCACTGATTAATGGAAAAGTCACATTTTGAAGAGAAGGGGGGCAGGAAGAAAGGGGCTGATAGTGGCTAGCTATGGTATCTACAGTATATCACAGAAGTGAGTACACCCCTCACATTTTGTAAATATTTTATTATATCTTTTCATGTGACAACCCTGAAGAAATGACACTTTGCTACAATGTAAAGTAGTGAGTATACAGCTTGTATAACATTGTAAATTTGCTGTCCCCTCAAAATAACTCAACACACAGCCGTTAATGTCTAAACCGCTGGCAACAAAAGTGAGTACACCCCTAAGTGAGACTGTCCAAATTGGGCCCAAAGTGTCAATATTTTGTGTGGCCACCATTATTTTCCAGCACTGCCTTAACCCTCTTGGGCATCGAGTTCACCAGAGCTTCACAGGTTGCCAGTGGAGTCCTCTTCCACTCCACCATGACGACATCATGGAGCTGGTGGATGTTAGAGATCTTGCGCTCCTCCACCTTCCGTTTCAGGATGCCCCAAAGATGCTCGATAGGGTTTAGGTCTGGAGACATGCTTGGCCAGTCCATCACCTTTACCCTCAGCCTCTTTAGCAAGGCAGTGGTCGTCTTGGAGGTGTGTTTGGGGTCGTTATCATGTTGGAATACTGCCATGCAGCCCAGTCTCCGAAGGGAGGGGATCATGCTCTGCTTCAGTATGTCACAGGACATGTTGGCATTCATGGTTCCCTCAATGAACTGTAGCTCCCCAGTGCCGGCAGCACTCATGCAGTCTCAGACCATGACACTCCCACCACCATGCTTGACTGTAGGCAAGACACGCTTGTCTTTGTACTCCTCACCTGGTTGTCGCCACACATGCTTGACACCATCTGAACCAAATAAGTTTATCTTGGTCTCATCAGACCACAGGACATGGTTCCACTAATCCATGTCCTTAGTCTGCTTCTCTTCAGCAAACTGTTTGCGTGCTTTCTTGTGCATCATCTTAAGAAGAGGCTTCCTTTTGGGACGACAGCCCTGCAGACCAATTTGATGCAGGGTACAACATATGGTCTGAGTACTGACAGGCTGACCCACCACCCCTTCAACCTCTGCAGCAATGCTGGCAGCACTCATACGTCTATTTCCCAAAGCCAACCTCTGGATATGACGCTGAGCACATGCACTCAACTTCTTTGGTCGACCATGGCGAGGCCTGTTCTGAGTGGAACCTGTCCTGTTAAACCTCTGTATGGTTTTGGCCACCGTGCTGCAGCTCAGTTTCAGGATCTTGGAAATCTTCTTATAGCCTAGGCCATCTTTATGTAGAGCAACAATTCTTTTTTTCAGATCCTCAGAGAGTTCTTTGCCATGAGGTGCCATGTTGAACTTCCAGTGACCAGTATAGAAACACAGTAACAGAGCGAGTCAGAAGGGGCCTCCCGGGCCATCTAGTATGAGAGAGTGAGAGCAATAACACCAAATTTAACTCACCTGCTCCCCATTCACACCTGAGACCTTGTAACACTAACGAGTCACATGTTACCAGGGAGGGAAAATGGCTAATAATACCCAATTTGGACAGTTTCACTTAGGGGTGTACTCACTTTTGTTGCCAGCGGTTTAGACATTAATGGCTGTGTGTTGAGTCATTTTGAGGGGACAGCAAATTTACTGTTACACAAGCTGTATACTCACTACTTTACATTGTTGCAAAGTGTCATTTCTTCAGGGTTGTCACATGAAAAGATATATTAAAATATTTACAAAATGTGAGGGGTGTATTCACTTCTGTGATACACTGTATCTCTGGGAGGTGAAATGCACAGAGCTTGCTATTCTTGGATCTCCGTGGTTGCCCTTTGGAGGACCTACTTTAAGTGCTGTAGCTGCTGTTCCAAACACTAGCACCTGAGGGACTCTCTGAATCTTGACTCTCTGGTTGGGACTTGAGTGATGAGAGGAGAGGAATGGCAGCTGCTCTATCACCACCTTCTGTTGTGGCAGGAGGAGCGGCTGAGGAAGCATGCGAACGAGCTCCACCCACTGCTCCGAGGCGGAATCTAGCGAGTGCATGTAGTGGAGCCTGTGCTCCTGGCTGGATAAACAGCAGCTGGCCAGCTGGGGTGTGCTGCTGCTGCTGCTGCTGCTGCTGCTGCACTCTAGGGAGAGACCTGGCTGAACTCCTTGTTGCTCCTGCTGCTGCGGCTGCTGACTGCTCTTAGAAGGGCCACTGTCTTTGCTCTAGACAATAAACAGAAAGACTAAAGCAATCAGAGCTGGCACAGAAGCCAAGAAAGGCCCTATCAAAAGACCACATTCAGGGCAGTGGATCTTCATATCCCAACTCTTCTAAATTTAATTCAGTGGTGCAGTTCCTTCTGCAACAGTAGCTAAGGAGACACCTTACAAATAAGGAAACTTTCCTCATTTAATTGTCTTGCAGCTGGAGTGGCTATTGCAGTGGAGGAAGAAACCATCCATATGAGAAGGAAAGCTCTGGGCGATTGCTAACCACATCCACAAATGGAGGGGAGAAAATTAGCAGCAAGCAGGTCCTGTGTTGGGCGTTCTGCTGCAGCTTAAATGGAATTAAGCCCAAAGTACCATTCCAGGTAAGGAATTTAAGACAAGGATGGATGGAAAGGCTTTAACACCTCCAAGGCTAGGTATCTACCCTGTGGAGCAGCAGACCTCATTATGTTCTGCCATGATTAGTCCACAGCAGCTGCAAATGCAGGGCAGCAGGAGAGCAACAGACAAGGACACTTACCTCTTGGGTAACATGAACCTGTTGTAGTCCTTGCACTGCCAACTGTTGCACTGTGCCTGCTTTGGGAGTTGAGGGAGTCGTCTGTACAACAGACCTCTGCAGAATGAAACAAACAAGAACTCTTCAGTTCCATTTGGTAAACCAGCTGTAGCCTGACGGGGGCAAGCCACTCTCTTTTTTGTTAGTGGCACTCTAAAGAGACCCAAACAGGGTTCTGTTAATTGCCTGAAAAGGAGGAGCTTCTTTTCTGTATGGTGCTCTGTATCTTCGCAAAAGCACAATTTTTCCAAGAGAGGGACAGCCCATCCTCAGGGACATGGGCAACTGCTTGGAGAGAAACAGACTCTTTCAAAATTCTCATGTATCTCCATTTTCAATGTCTGGATCAGGTTGTCTAGAAAGTGAAAATACCTAGGCATTTTTGGGAAAAAACTTCTTGTGCTTCCAGTGTTGAATATTCTGCAGTCTAGTCTAAAAGTCCCAAATGGCTTAATATTTTTCCTTTGATCTGCCTGCTACAAAACCTGGTCAAGAGTGGACAATGCCCCAGAGTTGAATTATTTCCCCTCAGAGAGGTTTGAACTACTTTCCTCTACTAGACAAGGCACAGTGTCCCAACATTCTCATCACTAGGCTACTACAGAGAATTTTCTGAAAATTCACTTCCCACCTCTGGTGGTCATCTAAATAAGTGCAAAAAAAAAAAAAAAAAGGAGTGTGGGCAAACACAGTTTTTTATCCTATTGAGAAATGTGTTAAAATCTAAGGAAAATTAGCAAAACTGAATATATAAAACTGAGACTTGATTTTCAATGAGAAAATGAGAAAATTAAATGAGAAATTAGTCCAAACTAATAGTAGAAAACAGTGTTCACACTGCTGCAATCATACACACAGCTATGTGGGAGAAAATCCCTTTAAACATAGCAGGGCTTACTTCTGAGCAAACATGTATGAGACTACATTCTATATAATGCCAAGTTATTATCCTTTTTTTAAAAAGTGTTTTACAAAACTATTATTTGAGAATCCAAAATATACTAAGAAGCCAATTAAGTTTATATACCTAAGTTGCAATCACACATCTCACTTGGAAAACATTTGGATTCTGAACATAGATACAAAAAAGGCTCTGTTTTGAAAATCAAAGTAACAGAATGTTTCACTTCTTTAAAATTAGCAGCTGAACAGGAATAGCCTGGAAGACCATTAACAAGACAACAGTGGTGTATGACCATTCTGTCCGTGTGCCTGGCCATCCTCTGTATTTCATTCCTGTTCTTCATTTCTTCGCCACTGAGACCTGAGTTTGCTGTCTATTGTTGTTTTCCATTATCTGGTGCTCAGTACCCATGATGTTTAGAGTTTTATCTGAGAAGCTTGTTAATTAATCTTGTTTTGGGACAGCCATGGGTATAATCTATATGCCAGCCAAGGCCTGGAATTCTCACTCAGTTATTTATTGGGCATAGCTTAGCTTAAGTTAATCGCTTAGATAGCTGTTATTCATTGCTTGGGTGAGTTTGAACAAGATGAGTTTTGGGGACCAGGCAGCTCTGGGCAGTTCCTCAGTTAACTTGAAAGTGTTGTTTATCACCAGATTGGCCTAGCCAAGGCCGATGGTCTGATATGGGAATACTGAAGATGCAGACACACACATCTTTTAAGATTCTTTTCACATTACTTATCTGCAAAATGTACGAATTTGGTCTAGCGTAATAAGAGAAACATGACAGTTACCCACATTATTGCATTCTGGAGTTCCATATATATAGATGTTGGTAAATGTAAATTATTACAAAATTCACAACTACTTTAATTAAAATACCAAAAAGTGGCTGGTTGAAGTACAAAAAACATTTGCAGGTGCACTGTGAGCAGACAGCAATTTGAGAATCCAGGATGACACCTTAACAAGTTTGAGCTTTTGTCACCCCCACAATCTGGTCATGTTACTGAGACAAGTGAGCAATCACTATTCTACTCCAAGTAAACATTCAGCACCTCTTGTGCAACAGGCACTTGTGGGACTCCGTGGACCTGGAGCTGCTGAACTTGTCCTGGTTTAGTGGCAGAGCTGCTGTTCTGGACAGGAGAGCGCTGAAAGGCAAAAAGATGACTTTATCCTCTAGGTATGGACAAAAGAGAAAGGCAAAATCTTCTTCTACTATCCAAGTTCACTGGCCACTCCTACCCAATCACTGCCTTTTTGATTAATGGTTATAAAAGAGAAAGATTTTTTAAAATGGCAACAAAGGGGAAAGGACCATCCCCAGTGTTAACAAATCTGATGTATTCACTTTCTGAATAGCTAAAGTCTGGAGAATCTGAAATCAGAAAGAAAAGTTTCTGGCAACCTGCCCAGCCTCCTGTGTCATGCAAGGCCTGAAAGTCTAACAATGCTCTTGTGAGGTTTTCTCAGGACAAGCATGTTGGTTTAAATGGTGTTGAAGGACGGAATGATCTTATACTAGAAATTTTAAAAAGCAACATTCAGAAACTGATAGCTGAACATTCTGGTCTCCCAGAACAGAAGTTGCCCGCCCGCCATATTTAACCAAAGGATACTTAAGGAACACATAATGGACAGGACTGCTTAATGAGATATCAATAATAAGCTTGATATAACATATCTTGGTTTAAATCAGTTAACTGGTGGATAATTAATCACAAAACGTAAAGCCAATTACATTGTTCAAGCAGCATGTACAAAATTCCAAAAATATTATGACAAATTTTGGTGGCTCAACAGCATATGAAGGGAGCAGAGAAAATAATACATATCAGCAAGTTCCATTTTTTTGCATCATTAATAAATATATTTATATGGTTTTCAGGAGGAAAGTTCTGCAAGACGATAAAAGATAAACAAATGCATTCATAAGAAGATGAGAAAAGCCATGCTGGATCAAACCACAGGTCCATCTAGTTTAGCGCTTGATTCACACAGTGGCAGGCCAGCTGCCCACAGGATTGCTCAAGCAGGTTCGGTGCAAGAGTGCCCTTTGCCCGAGCTCCTCAGCAACTGGTATATGCAGGCATGCCACCTCTGGTTAAAGGAGGCAGCACATAGCCAGCAAGGCTGTCCCATAAATCTGTCCAATCACTTTTTAAAGCTATCCAGACTGGTGGCCATCACCACTTCCTGTGGCAGCAAATTCTATGGTTTAACTATATACTGTGTGAAAAAGTACTTCCTTTTATCTGTCCTAAACCTCCCACCAATCAGCTTCATGGGATGACCCTGGGTTCAAGTGCAATGGCAGTGGGAGAAAAATGTCTGTACCTTCTCCACACCATGCATTATTTTAAACAGCAATATCACATCTCTCCTTACTCGCCTTTTTTCTAAGTTGAACAGTGTCAGTTGTCATAGCCACTCCTCACAGGGGAGCTGCTGCAATCCCCTGATCATTTTTGTTGCCTTTCTCTGAATATTTTCCAACTCTTGTTTATATTGAACTTCATTTCCCATTTTGATGTCCATTCTCCCAACTTGGAGAGATCCCCCTGGAGCACTTCACAGTCCCTTTCAATTTTCACAACCCTAAAACATTTAGTGTTACCAGCAAACCTGGCCACTTCTCTACTTATTCATAATTTATTTATTTAAAACATTTCTATGCCGTCCCCATTGCAACAAAGCCTCGGGGCGGCTCACAATATCCATAATTCCAGATCATTTATGAATAAGTTGAAAAGCATTGATCCTAATGCAAAACCCTATGGGACTTCACTGATAACTTTTCCCACTGGGAGAAATTGCCAGTTTCCCCCACACTCTGTTTCGTTTCTTTAATGAGTTAGTGATTCATAAGAGGACCCTCCTTTTTTTAATTCCATGACTGCTTATTTTGCTCAGGAGTCCTTGGTGAAGGACTTGGTCAAAAGCCTTTTGGAAGTTCAAGTAAACAAATGTCTACTGGATCACCCCTGCCTACATGCTTATTATTATGCTACACTCTCAAAGAACTCTAATAGGTTAGTGAGAAAAGACCTCCCTTTATTTTTTTTTCCCAGCAGGGAGTGCATCTCTATGTGCTTATTGATTCTATGTTTAATAATGCTTTCAAGTAGTTTACACAGAACAGATGTTAAGATAAATGGCCTGGAATTTCCCAGATCTCCCCTGAACCTTTTTCTAAAAATTGGCATTACATTGACCATTCTCCAATCTAAGGGCTAATTTTAGGGGCATGTTAAATATTTTGCTAAGAAAGGAGAGCTATCATGAAAAAGGGATTTTTTTTCTTTTTGTATGATTCATATACCACTCTTCATTTTAAAAATTTCAGTGCAATTCACAAATAGCATTAAAATAAAAGTAAATTGAACAACAACACAAAAATTAACAGAAGCTTCAAACTTTAAATCAGACAAAAGAGAAAGCAATCATTTTCAAGGACTAAGAGAGGAAAAAAAAATATTTGCAAGCCACAGCTACCTAGGAAAGAAATCCAAAAGCTGGAACCATTGCCAAGAAAAAGACCGGTTACTTACCTGTAGCTGTTGTTCTTCAAGTGTTCATATGTGCATTCACACATACGGGCTCTGCATACATGTGTGGAGCCTGCTTCGGAAGATTCCAAAGCTAATTAATTAGTACTTGGTGGGAACCACTCCCCTGGGCACACCCAGCATGTGTGAGGGGCTCCCACCAGATGTTCAGTTCTGAAATAATGAGACCACCACTATGCACTTCTATCCCTTGACAGGGCCCTGTTAGACAAGGGAAACACCAGGAGGGGATAGTGGGCAGGTTTGGGTGAATGCACAGATGACCACTTGAAGAACAACAGTTACAAGTAAGCAACCTATCTTTCTTCTTCATAGTCTCTGTGCATCACACATATAGGCAACTGGCAAGCTGACGAGTGGAAGACTGAAGGTAAGATTGCCCTGTCCAAGGCGCAGTTGGCTCTGGCCCAGACGTTGAGGTGGTAGTGCTGGACAAAGGTTGATGGGTTCGACTATGTTGTGGCCCTGCAAAGAACAGGAAGGGATACCCCAGCATAGAAGACTATAGAGGTGGGCATCGCTCATGTAGAATGAGCACATATTGGTCCAGAGGGCTGGAGTCCAGAGAGCTCATAGGCAAGGGAGATCACATGTACAACCCATCTTCTCTAGTCTTTGTGAGCAGATAGGGAGTCCCTTCTTTGCACCACCATAGGCAATTAAGAGTTGTTGTGAGTGTCAGAATGGTTCTGCTCTAGACTTGTAAAAGGCTAGGGCCCTCCAGATGTTGAGGGAATGGAGTGCCATCTCAATTGGGTCCGACAGGCTTGTGAAGAAGGCATGCAGGACAATGTCCTCACTGAGTTGAAGGACAAAGATCACCTTGGGTAGAAATAAAGGATTGGGTCAAAGCACCTTGTCCTTGTGGAAGGTGCAGTACAGAGGATCGGAGCAGAGACCACCAGGTCGTTTGCACAGTGGGCCAAGGTGATGGCAACTAACTAGAAAGGTGGTCTTCCATGATAGGAGTCACAAGTCCGTGGTGGCCATGGCCATGAAAGGCTTTTTGTGAGAGCCTGAAGGACTACAGACAGGCTCCAGGCTGGTGTAGGTGGTCAGATTGGTGAGGCTAGGTTTTTAAAGCTCCTGAGGAATCACCAGGTGAAGGGACGAGAGCTGGAGTAGCCCTGTATCAAGTGTAGAAAGCAAAAATGGCTACTGTGTATACTCAGATGAAAACTGTCTTGCGAACCCAGAAGAAAGAGGAATTCAGGAACAGGAGGATTTGCTGTATGGAACAACTAAATGACTGGAAACTGTGTTGCATGGCAAAAGAGGTCAATGCTCTCCACTTTGCATGGTACAAGTGCCAAGTGATCAGTTTCTGGGCTGCTTCCAGCTCCAGGAGGAGATCTTCTGGTAAGTCTTCTCCACAGTTGGATCCTCCATGCCATGAGGCAGTGTGTGTGGATCTCTGGAGGTCGGACATTCACCAGTCCTGGGAAAAGATGTTGGGTTTGAGAGGGAGGTGCAGGAAGATTTGGTTGGATAGGTTCAGATGGTGGGGGAACCAGGATTGCCTGTGCCACCAGGGTGTCATGAGGATGCAGTTGGTTTGATCCCAAAGGAACTTTCTGACAGTGAAGACAGTATTAGTAGGGCCAGTGCCGCAACCAGTGAAGGCTTGGATAGTTAATCTGGTGAGATGGACTCTGATGGGTAGTTGCTGGAGTCCAACGCTTGGGACTGAGGCCTGGAGCTTGACAGAATAGGAACCAGGAGGAGGATCACAGCAGCCAGACTTGTGGAGGGAGCACTGGGTCCTTGTGTCTCTCTTTCATCTGGATGCTGATGGTCTCTGACTGGGGCAAGGGACCTCAGTATGCAACAAGGCTGGGTTGGAGTGGGCTGAGCTCCAGTATGGCTGTTCTAAGCTTCTCAAGTTAAAGGAGGTCCAGCATACTCAGCAGAAGCCTCAGTCGTAGTGTCTACTGTGGGTCAATACTGGCCAGTTAGGTCTACAGCTGCATTCAAAGATGGGCAAGCAGGAGCAGGACCTGTGTCTGTTGGGCTTGAGGGAATGGGTCCCACTCAGAATTGGCAGAGGAAAGGTGCATCTCAGAACTGAGCCAACCAACAGAGCAAGCTGTATGGGCAGAGAGGGGTCTCATATCTTGAAAAGGATGTCATCGGGGTGGCCTGGCATGTTGGATGTGTCAGTAAGGAGTGGCATTTGGGACCAGGTTCATACTTCAACTTTGAAATACATGGGATGTCAGTAGGGGGCACTTTGACATCGTGCTCCACCTTAGAGCATTTGGTACCAACTTTGGTTTTTATTGTGCTGGCCATTTTGGAGAACTTCAGGTTTTCTGCCAATTTTTTGCCCTTAGCAATCTTTGCTGCACGGCCCATCTGGGGAGTGGCTGAAGGGGATCCTGCTGTCACTGCCAGAGATGCAGAGAAAGTAGAGGCCCCAGATGTTGAAGACTGCTCCACAGGAGGAGGGGAGTCAGTCCAATGGTGAGCTCTGCCCATCAGTTCCACTTTCAGAGAGAAGTTGAGTAAAAAAGCTACAAGGAGCAGAGGAGGAACTTCCATGATTGCAACTGAAGAGAAACTGAGCATCAGGTGGGAGGCCCTCCTGCACACCAGGTGTGCCCAGGGGAGGTACTCCTGCCAAATACTAATTAATTAGCTTTGGAAACTTCTCATATAGGCTCCACACATGCTTACAGACCCCACATGTGTGATGCAGAGACACCACAAAGAAGATCACTTTCCCCAGACATCATCTACCATAACACATCTCACTTGGTAATGATAATGATGATCATAAACCTGGTCATCTGGATGTGAGAATAGATTAGCTTCAGGTGGCCAAGTCAGGGTCTGACAGAAGAACACCAGCACTTTGCTTGCAAATGGACTGCAAGTCAGTGAAGTTCTTTAAGAGTGGTGAAATACATTCCTGAATGGCCAAATGGCTCAGTTCTGAATAACTGACATTTCTGGGCAGTCTACAACTACACATACAATTCCACAAGTAGGTTCTGGAAGTTACCAGAGGCAGACTGTCATTCCAGTGGTGGGCAGGGCCAAAAGGGTGCCAAAGTACCAGCCTGTATTAGTTTAAATCTCTTACTGCCTGTAATTAAGCTAGGGGAGGCATTTCACCCAGGAAACCACCAAATGATTGGTAGCTGGAAGATAGAGAGGGTTCACTGAGGAACCCCAGAAAAACAAAATAGGACTGCACACAGTCCAGAGTTTTAGGAATGCAAACCCTTCCAGATCAGATAAACCACCTACCAACTGAAGTTCCATCTTGTCAGTACTAAGGTTCATTTTTGATCCTTGTTGGGTCCATTACTGATTCCAAACAATTTAGCATTTCCACTACCTTTATATCACCTGAATCTGATATAAAGGGGAAACAGAGTCGAGTATCATCTACATATCAATGACAGCCAACTACAAAGACCCAACTGATCTCAGTCACTAGCTTCACGTAGATGTTAAACAGCATGGGAGAAAAGATGAAATGATGCTGAACACCACAGAGTAGATGAAATGAAAGTTAACAGAACTTTGACAGGAATGCAGCCATACCAACAGGAAATTCCCTTACTGAGGCAGCCAAGAAGTCACAATTATCCAAAAGTAGCCCATCCTAATGAGTCCACCATCCTGGCAGAGAATAGCCATTACATGCTTAAATCTCAATAGGGAGTGGTCTAAAGTTAATAAAATTAAACCCATATGCAATGGCAAGGCAATGAATTTGTTCAAATATAATGAGAATGAAAAGTATGAGTTCTCATTTAATCATATGTCATGGTCATTTACAAACCTCATGTTACAGCTTAACTATGGACTCTTAATATGGACTACAGCATAGGATTTATCTTTTATTGTATATATTTCTAAAATCTATATCCTACTTCATAAATAGTAAGGGTTCTTAGAGGATCACAAATTAAATATGCAATAAGAACAAAAGGACCCTTAAAATCAATCCTAATAAAACAAGAGAGCTACATACATTCAAATCCCATTTAAATACCAACCATCCCTGCATCGGCTGTAATCAGACTACAAAGGGTAAATTAAACAAGTCCCTAAGCAAAAAACATACTAGCCAGGTGAGCGCCCCTTGATCAAGAGTGCCACAAGTAAGCTGCCACTTGCAGAGAAGGCTCCAGATTTAGTAGCCACCTGCCACACAACAGATGGGGGAGGGGGCAGCAGGGTCCACCATGAAGTTCCCTCTGCAGGGATGTCAACAGAACCAAGATAAGAGACAAATTCTGGTCCCACTGTCAGGTAATGGCAATATATCTCCTGGAACGATAAACAAAAGGGGAGCTGGCCAGGAAACAGGAAATGAGTATCAGCTGTGGAGGAAACTGGCTAGGACTCAAAATTTAAGGGCTAGCCTAGAAGGTGCTAGGAAAAAGGATAAGAAAAGCCAGGTGCTAGTTAAGCCTATTCCCATTATGTAAAGTCTCCGTGGGTGTCCTAGATCAGTAACTGTATTTTCTAAAGGATGTTAAAAGAATGAGGAGGGAATATACAGATGAGGCATTCTCAGTACAGCACAGACAGCCTTCTATCTCTCTTTCTCTCTGACCACAACACTCTATTCATATCTACCATCTATCCAGAGTACAGAAGAGGATCTTGCCCGCTCCCTTAAGCAAAGCTGCCCAAATGTTGAACATAGTCGCAGAATCCTGATGTGCAACACTCTAACTAGCTTTGATACAATCTGCAAAATAACCCACCCTGTCTTTTCAGCTGTATTTTCCAATTGCCATTTAGTTCAAGACTTTATTGGTGAATGCATTAAAGGGAATAAGATTTTCATAGTACTCTTTTGAGCAATGAATGGAATGAAGTTCTATAGCTAGCATTTTTTTAAATCAAATTTCCCAATTGTAGCATAGAGAGCATACCATTCACAGAATCAAAGAGATTATAATCAAGCTTTTAGCCTTCAATAATATCCTTTTATAGACAGTATATGATCTGTATTACTTAGGTGGCTAGCACAATGTAGATCCCCTTTCAAACTCAGTATTATAGCTGGTATACAAAGAGCATAATTAGAAAGTAAAGGGAACTCAACTCAATGAACACAACTCAAAGCTGATTCTTGACACCGAAATCTAGATAAAGACCAGCACCACCAAAAAAAAAAAAAAATCAGTTTGAAAATCTGCATTTACTTTTATATTCACATCTCAGAACGTGAAATGATTGGGTTGATTGGGTTAGGAAAGAAAATGGAGTGATGGAACAAATGAAGAAATTGGATCAGGGCAGGCAAATAAAAATTAGCAACAACAAAGCACAGTGAGGGCTAAACCAGTTTCCTTCTTTTATGGAGGATGGAACATCTGAACATGCTTCCCCCAAATCTGCCAGATCTGAACATCTGGCCACCCACCTCAGGAGAAGAATGAACCTGCTGCACACCATGTACGGCCAGCGCGACCGGTCCTCCTTTACTAGTCTGTGAAGTACTCTGTACCACCAGCCGCTGAAATAGGATGACACAAAAGAAGCAATCCCTTATTAATTATTGCATCTCTAGAAGTGTGCCAAGTCGTGGCAGCTGTCAATAAGCTAAATTAGCCAGGGATTTACTAAGAGGCCACTCACTACTTCACACTACCTACTTACACATTCAGTGAATTAGAATATAAATCATCATTTACCTAGCACCCCATTACTGTCTGCTGAAAGACACAAAATTTGCCCAAGATATATTTGTGACTGAGACAAAAAACATATCTGTTAAGGTATGATGCAATCCACTGGGAAGGTCTGTTGTGCAAGCCTACTGGATAGAACAGGGGCTGTGAAAGAACACTACTGTGCTGTACCACAGGTCCAGTGGGTCATCCAATGGAGCTTGCATAGGAGAACATTGCTAGGAAGCTCTTTGGCCAGATCTGTCCATCTTCAACTCTGCCTTCTTAATGATGCCAACATATCTTCCCCTTGAAGTGGCCACCTCACCTTGCTGCAAGCTTGAGTTTCCACTGTCTCTAGGGCAGAACTGCTCTTTCACATGAAGAGAAACCTAAACAGGATATGGAATTATATTGGTTTCCTGGGGGAAAACAGGCATCTCCCCACAATTTAATATGATTGCAGTCTGACAGTGGACCTTTGCAGCATTTCTTCTACATTCAGCTAATCAGTATTTCCATGTCTCCTTGGTCCCACCTTCAAGGTGTGGCCAGCCTACAATGCTGTTAGGTGGCTACCTGCTCTCTTGGCTTGCAGACAATCCAGGATATGGTGTTGTGTTAAGGGCAACTCTTTTTTCATTCAGCTGCCAAGGCAGCTGCATCAGCCAAAAGAATATTTGTCAAGTCACCTTGGGAAGAAATAAGGTAGAGTGCTCTACAATAGGGGTGAAAAGGAGTGTAACTTGAAGAAGAGGAAGGAGGATGCCACAGGAAAGCCTGTTGGTAAGTTCGTGAAACTGTCTTGCCAAATGGGATGCTGAAAACTTAACTGGACTCAACAGGATTCAATGTAAAAGAAGAAAAAACTGCAAAAGAAAAGCTGTGAAGGATACTGCTGAATTTTTTGATGTTTGGTCAATTAATTTGACCCTCAATGAAAACAGCCATTTGCTCAGATATGTCTGTGCGATTCCCTTTGCAATGTGATGCCTATTTTTAACCACACAGTTCCCAAACCTTCCCCTATTTCATTTTGTTGAATAAGACAGTCTTACATGTAAGTGGTTTAAAAGGCTACCTGACATAATGGAAGATGAAGCTTGGGTGTGTATGAATTGCCAGCAACTTTCTAGTGCTTAATCCACTTTCCTTTATGAATGGTCATCTGTGATTAGTGCAAGTCTTGTCCTACTAACTTTGGGTGATTGATCCAAGGTTTGAAATTCAATAGTTACAAAGAAGGTTTGAAAAAACTAATCCTTCTTAGAGTGGGCATCACAGAATGATTTTTCAAATGTGTTCAAATCTAGTATGTAGTTAACTATAGTTTCTATGACCAAACAAGAATGCAAACTGAAAGAGGAAAGACCAGCATCAAGAAGCTGAAATTAAAGTCTGGCAGGGGAATGCATTACCACAGGAGACTGTGCCAAGATAGCATCTCATCCAATTCCTACACTAAGGCAGAATACGCCATTCACTTAAGCTGTAAATCATTTCAGGTAAACACATACAGAATGTAGAAGATAGCACATTTCCCCTCAGATATTGGTCCAACTAGACACTTCCCATCCTTTCCATAGACAGAGAACAAAAGCAATAAGGGTGTTTTGAATACGTTCAAGAAATAATACTGTGTAGGCCACTACACCCAAAAGCTATGTATTAGGTGAATTAGACAGAAAAATTCTGCTATCCTCATTCAGAATTAGTGAGACAAGCAAAGGTTGAAATTATGGCAAGTACTACTGAGTTAGAAAGGGCTAAGTCGCTCATCAAGATCAACCCTTTGCTCTAACACAGGAAACACCCTACAGAGGCGATTAGCCAGACATCTCTGAAAACTCTTCAATTAAGTCCTTCAAAACAACACTGCAACAGAACTAGAGAATGTCTAATAAAGAATTATCAGTATCCACCACACAACTCCCTAAGTTTCCTGGGGGAAAAGTAAGCCAGCTACCAGTAAGACATGCTCATCTCATGATAAGAAGGCTCTAGAGGTAGAACAAATTTTCAGGCAAACAAGTTTAGCACTCTTAGTAGACGCAGCCTAGTAGGTAGGTTGCTGGGCACAAGAAGGTGCTTTGAAACTGTACCAACCACTTTTAACAGCACAGCAGACAAAGAGCAGACTCACCTGCTGTGGAACTTGCACACTTGTGAGTTGCAGAGGGGACACAGTTCCAGGCTTCGTCTGCACGCTGGCTTGGACCAATAACCTCTGCCAAACAAAAGAGTCTGGAGTCAAGGCAAGCAAAGACAATTCACAGCAGCAGCAGAAAACCATGTTGGAGTTTGAGGTGAAGTGCTAGGTGATGACTGTGACAAAGTCACCAAAAGCCTCATGCTGAAGTCAATAAAGCACTTATATTTGCATTTCACAGAGGACAGCACTAAGGTCTTCACTCCTGGTTAATTATGAGCAGTTTCAGAAAAAGAATATAGACATTCCTATGTACATTACAGTCATAGGACCTTATGCCCCTTTTATAGGTAGAAATGGCCTTGGCAGCCTGCTTCAACCAACCCATTATCAAGAACAGAGCACAGCAGAGTTATTACCTCCTGTTATATTCAAAAAACAAACCTAGGATTCCTGGTTCCTAAACTTTCCCTTGCTTTCATCCACTACATCTCATTCACATCATATATTTAGGAATGAAACCCAGAAACTTGGTTCACAGTTCCCTGCACATATTAACATTACCCTGTTAACACATATTTTGAAAGCCCTTTTCTACGTATCAAAGTTGTCCTGATTAAGTACATCTTTGTTACAGCTACCTCTGCCATGCTAACACAGGACCCCTGGTTTAATTCACATACCTGCTGCGTAGCCTGGACTTGCTGAACCACCTGAGTTGGCACGCCTGACTGTGTGGCTGTGGAGCCTGGACTGGATTCTGAAACAGTGTCACTGGGCCTCATCGAGCCATCTGCAGAGAAGCAGAAAAGAGAAGTTTATACCAACAGCCCCAGGAAAGGCCCAATTCTCCATCCACCAGTATTTACATAAGAAAAGCAAAGAGAATGGAATGCAAGCCTAGATATAGGATTCCTAAAAGGGGAGAAACACCTAAGGTGAACATGTGAGTAAGAGACTCTCAAGAAGCACGGCTCTCATGTTCTGTTACTAACTTTGTGAAGAACTAGTTCAAGATCTGTTGCTGCCCCAAGCAACTGTCCCTCATAATATGTCAGAACTGTCCCAGGTCAGCATTCTCTGTACTAGGTATCCTAGGCCATATTTCCCAGAATACACACCTGCTAATGCTGCCACTCCAAGAAACTACTCAAACACAGAGAAAACAATCCTTGCTTTGGAGAGAAGCACATTATGGTGTACCGGGCCCAGAATTGCTTCTCAATGACTACATTTCTACAGGCTACTACCTCTCCAGGGCTTTTGGGAGTGACCATTAATACATAGATATTCATTCTTATAAGTCTTAACCTGAGATAGGACAAAGAATCAAAGAATTATGCCAGGAAGTTAAATACAAAGGGCTTGGTTTCCCGAAGCATGAATAGAATATATGTAAGTCCTTTAAATTTAACAATGCCTTTCTTCCCAGAATACTTTGTCTTCCTAACATGTTTTCAAACTATTATTATTTTGTGAAATAAATGTGTGTTATTGCTTATTTACTCTGAGAGATCCATGTATATTTATTCAAGGCAGCATTTTTATTGAAAAACTTCATCATTTTCACTGCACTCAATGTACAATCTCTGGGAGCAATGCATGCCTATAACATGTTGACTAACAAGTAAATCCCACCGAGTTGGAGGGTGCTTACTCCTAAGTAAGGTGTGGATACAATTATAGTCTGAGAAAATGTGATCCCCATTATCATACCCACTATGACTGGGGGTCTGGTATGGAATAACTTTGTGCTAATGGATACTACTAGACACAAGCTAGAGACATATACTATACTCTCTGCCATTTCTTCCATTCTGGGAACTTCATGAAAGTTTTCTTATTTTACCAGTTTAGAAATTAATGCACCCTTTCTGTGCCTTTCAATTCAAAACAGTTCACTGAACCCTTTTGCAACAGCAGTAATAAGAAAAATAACAAACACTAACACCAAAAAGGCTACTCATGTCACAGCAACATCCCGTTGCATAAATTCCTTTAGCTTTGGTTAAAAAAAGTAGTTTGCCAGCCATGAACTTCCTATACGCAGCACTAGAGTGCACATTTCCCTTGATTTTTAGCTGTGGCAAGCAAAAGTATGGCTGCCTTGCTGGCAGCAAGATTATCTCCTTTATATCCACCCTCAATTATGTCAGAACAGGATGTTATACTCCTGGCATTTAATTCACACTAAAGTGGTCATGCTGTGAGGAAGGGTTTTCGTTTTTTTGGTAGAGGATCCCCCCCGCCCTAGAAATACAGCATCTCTTTCTTCTGCTATTATTCACCACGGGTCCTAAGCAACAGGCGCATCTCTTCCACAAAAGCAAGGAGGCACCACATGGGTCAAGCAGAAACTGTGGCAATCAAGACACTTTCTATGTTAAGAGTAGAATCCTGATGCTTGTTGCTCAGGAGTTAGCTTTAGCAGTTTCCCGCATCAACCACACTTCTTTCTTTTCTGCTTTAATTTCACTGACAACAATAGATTTGCTAGAAAGCAAAGAGTTCCAGTGATTAGGGAAAGCTCTACTTCTGACAAAGGCTGGAAGATCCTAAGCAGAAATTCCTTTTGCAATACTTACGGTCAAAAGGCATTGCATAAAGGCAATCATAATACATGGTGAAGCTGCTGAAAGGGTTTCAGCTCTAGGTGTTCCTTTCCTTGAAAATGAAACAGGCAAGGCTTTTATAAACTGGAACCTTGACCAGTTAATCCCCGCTAGTTCCTACCTAAGCTCCAGGCTAGTTGGTTTCGAATAAACATTCACATCATAGTAGGTACACCCTCTGTTCTTCTAGGGATGGGGTAGCGAATGCCGGCTGTTCACCCGATTGTAATCACGAAGCAGGAGTTCACGTTTCATGAGTGTCTCATTTGACATACTCAGCAGGAGGGGGAGAATGGGTAGGGGAAGTCACTCTGGGCCACCTGCACTAGGCCTGTGAATTTATGTCCTTAGAAAAAGTACTATCATATATAGGCTTTCAAAACTGTTCCCTTGAAAAACTGAAGCTCCTGAATAGTCGGCACTAGATATCAAATATTACTGTGTACATGGCGGGGTTGAGAACTGCCAAACTGCAATGTGGACCTTCTGTGAGAGATGAAACAGGGTCCTGCCCTTTGAGCTCAATAAAGGATCCCACATCCCCTAACAGTTGTTCAAAGAGCTGACTTTGGTTTTGGTACTACTGATAATTTAAAAAACAAAACCCCAAATATATATTCTAAGGTCTCTAATAATAGCAGGGCTTGATTTTTAGGTGTGATACTCACAGGCCATCATAATGAGTCCTCCTGACTTGAAAATGCAAACATTATGTCTCCCCAAGTATAAGTAAAGGAATTACAGACAAGCATTTTTTCCTTCAGAGGCAGGTAAGCAAATAACATCAAAGCAAATTGGCGGAAACAGAGTCAAAGAATAAAGACTACTAAAGAACCTGTATTACATTAAATTAAAAGAAGTCATTCTTAGTACTGCTAGACGTAAAGGTCAGCTCACAGGGACTAGATGTTACCTTCCATGAGGCCCACAACACTGCCACGTAGCAACATTTTTGACCCGTTCCAGTTACTTTATGGTTTCCTGCTAACATTAAGTCCAACAACCAGATTTCTTGATTTAAGGAATCTCTGAGGCATGTAATCAATGGATTGGCTTTCTTTCCTGCAAGGAAGAACCTTTCCAAATTGCCCCTCCTCTTACTACTATTCCACTCCACCCTCAAGGCAAGAATAAGCAATGCTTTCATCAGCAGCAGCAGCTTCTTTCCTTCCTGTCCCTCCCCATCCCTCATCTTCTTTCCTTATTAAAAGCAATGCAATGGGGCAGGGAGAAAGATTATAAAACATTTTGCTTCTATGATAATTTTCACCGGAGTATTAAGAGAATACACTTTCAAATACAGCAGGATTTATGATGCCTCAGAGGCTCAGCACTGGCAATTCTATTAAAGCTGGTAAGGCAGAGTAGAATATACGTGTGTGTGAGAGAGTGTTCACATCTACACAAATACACAAACATTTCTCAATGTCTTTTGTAAACAAGTCACAGGAATGATCCTGAGGGAAGAAGGAAGAAGCACCATTCACTTTGCTCTAAGGAACTTGTGAAAGCTGCCCAATGTAACAGTTTTCCTGAAACTTGGTCCCTTTTATTGGATGGCATTATCCAAGTAGTCTCTGGCTCTTCCAGTGCCATAGATATAACACCAGTTAGAAAAAGAACATGGACAGAGAATGCAAACAACAAAAGCAACACCATCACCAACAAACTGAATGTATGTGAAGTGCTCTGAACACCATTAATCTCGAAAATCCTTACAACTCTATAAGAACAGGGTTGTTATCCCCATATAACAGATGGAGTAGATGAGATTAGAAGAAAGAATTGCTGCCTAAGGCAATAGTGGCTTGCTGACAATGATTGCTGCCATCTTTTTAAAGGAACTAACTATATGATTCCCAAGCATCTCCATCTTCAATTCACTGTATCATGAGGATGCTTGATGATCATCTTCATTTCCTTAGCAACTCAGTTTAAGCATATATTACAAAAGAACAAGAGAAAGACAATCACAGCAGCATTATCCATTATTCAGTGCTAGAAATCTGTTCAATTCCGCTGCAGTGAAATGAAGAGAAGGGAGTAGTTGAGGGACTAGCCCTTTATCTTGAGCATGAATCCAAAAAAATTCTAAATATGACCATGAAGACTGCTCTCCTGCTTAAATGTGTCCTATACTGTCCTGTGATAGAAAATGCCGAGTATGGGGGACAAGGCGGCAGTAGGAGCATTCCGAATACCCAGATGAAGCTCTCACAATAATGACCAAAGACCATTCAGTGGAATACATGCAGCAGCACAGCTGAACTTCACTCAGCTAGAGTAAATAAAAAATTGTTCTTGTGGCCATTTTTTTATCTCTCTCTCTTTCAGCACAGTTGAAAATTAGCTGCCTTCCATTTGCAGAATGAAGGGGGTCATTGTAACTCAAAACCTTGCTTATCCCTACATCAACAGAAGAAGATATCACCTTACCCTTTTGTTATCTCTGATTTTGTCCAACCCACGTGTTATACCAGCAGTGAAATAAAAAGAGAGAGAGAGAGAGAGATTATGATTATGACAACAATATACAGATATGGAAACCTTAAGATGAATGGAGATTGATTTTTAAAAGTGGATATATTCAGATCAATTAAATCTGTCAGAAAGATTAAAAAATGAAGAGGTTGTGCGTTCTGTTTCTGAAAAAGTATATAATTTGCCCCAAGAACATTAATAAAGTACAAAGTAACAAAGGGACAGGGTAGAAGAGTGAGAATAAAGGTCAACAAACGCTTAGGAGGATGCCTTATGCCATGTCAGGCTAGTTGACCATTTAACCTAGTACTTGCTACTCAGATTGGCAGCAGCTCTCCAAAGACTCAGAAAAAGGTCTTTCACATCACCTGTACCCTCTTTTCAGTGGAGATGCCAAGGACTGAATCTACAGCCTTGTGCATGCAAAGCATGTGCTCCCTCACTGAACTGCAGTCCTTTCCCAAAAAGGAAAGCCCACTGTCCTTCAAGTACTGTATCTGAACATATGATGCTTTCTTATACTGACATATATCACTAGTCCATCTAGACCAGATCTGTCTACTCTGACTGGTGAACCTGTGGCCCTCTATATGTGAAGTATCTGCCGTATGAATGAGCTATGGCCCTTCTGTCCATTTACTATTGGCTTTCTTACTCCAATTTTACTGACATGTGAAAAATACAGTGTAAGATAAAAACT